GCAACAGTTTATGCAGCAGTTGACAAGTTGAACCTCTGGCTGGAGTATACAAGCCCTTTGTAGCTGGCATACAAGTGACCAGTAGCTTAGTGAGACACAGTTCCCCTAAATACACAGCAAAATTTGACCTAATGCTGCTAGCCATTCACTCCAGCAGCAAGGCACTTCCCTTGTTAGTGAGGCCCTGTGTCCCCTCACTACACTCACCTGGATGGCTCACCTGGAGCATCTCACCTGGATATTGCTTCACCAGCACTTGGTGATGAGCAGCCTTGGTCCTAAAGGCCTTAACACCTCTCCCAAATAAAAGCACTTGGTTACTAGGCCATCTATGTTGTATCCACATATCAGGCTATATATTACTTAGAGAGGAGGTCAGATATATTAACAACTATCAGAAATGGACTGGATCCTGCAATTAGTGTGCTTTGGTGTGAGGAAAAGCAAGGGGTGTCACCAGCCTCAAATGCTGCAGCGAATGCTCCTCTGCTGAGGTGTCAGTGCCAGGGAAGAGGCAGTGCAGGGTTTACGAGATGCTTCAGTCTAAGCAGGAGGCACTTTCCACCAGTCAGACACTTGGGTTTTGACTGCCACATGTGTTTCCCCAGCAAGGTATCTGACTGCAGTGCATATATCCACTTTCAAGGAAGTCTTTGTGGATAGTCACAAAACTATGGATGACAGCCGGCATTCTGTGAGGTTTTTATTTCTACCTTCTTGCCCTAGACCTAAGGGGCAGCTGATGATCAGTGGGAGATTTAGCTCTTAGTTGTAAATTTTAAATTTATCTGTATCAAATGTTGTCTTGAAGTACAGCTTTCTGCATTGAAGTTTTAGCCCTGCTTTTGTTTTTGGGAGTGGCTCAGCTTGCAATAAATACTGCAGAGAAAATGAGAAACAAAATGTAAGTGTGCGTGAGCCTCTTCTTTCTTACTCTTCCTTACGCTTTTTAAGTAAGAGAATTGGAATTTGTTAATTTGTGAAAGGCTATTTAATTCTGCCTTTCTTCTCCTGCATTTAGTGCCTGCACCACACTGAAGCCCTGTGGCCTGAGAGCTGAACTGGGGACTTAGTGGTTGGCTGTAATTTAAAATCTGCTGTTTCCTAACAGCAACACTTCTTTGTTATAAACTGCTTCCAAACACCATTAAAATCAGTCTTAGAAGTTAAAATGCATATATATATATATACACACACATATATATATGCATCTGCATTAGCAAATGGGACAGCAGCTTATAGGATTTTGATGTGTTAAAAAAATGTATCTAGATGCCAGTTAATCACAACAGCTGTTTCGTATGGAAAACCAGCTAGTATATTTAGTCCTATTTAGTGCAGACAGATTAGAAGTTTTATGTGCTCTAGGGGAGCTACCTGCAGCTGTCTGTGCCTCCTTGGGGTTTCTGTAGGCAGTGCTAGGGCAGCACCAGCTCCTGTGCTGCTTCTCTAGTTAAGACCTGTGAGTAATTAAGCTAAGTTAAATTACTGAAGCTGAACCAGGGTGCAGGTTTGTAATGCTCTGGGGTGATTTGCATAGCCAGGGGATGCTCCAAGTTTTGACCGTGTGGTGGTGCTCAAGATTTACAGCAGAAAGGCAAAGGGGCCTTTTCCAGGACCTGACTAGAGATAACTTCTGCCCTGGCTCTCCCTCTCTCTGAAGAGGAATAAAAGCGAAGCCCATGGACCATCTTGGTCTTGGGCCTAGCAATGGGGCCAGAAGTTATGCAAATCTTAAATACTATTTTGCTAGGCTGCTATAGTGCAGGTAAGGTCCTGCCTTGCCCACAAAGTAAGCACCGCCCACAATGAAGTTATATATTCTTTTTCTGCTGTGCTGTGTGGTGCCAGTTTGAGGCTTAGCAGGTAATTTACTGCAGCTGGCATACAAAACCACCCTGAGATCTGCACAGGGAGAGCAGATTCCCAAGCTAATGGCCCTGGAAAAGAAAGTGGTAACTCCAGAAGCAGCCCGAACAAACTCCTGCAACATAGCAGCACCCTAGAAATACTTCTTTTTGCAAATAGAAAACTAGCTAGCCAGCCTGCACTTGAGAAATTCTATGAGTGCTAACACGGAGGGAGGAATTCATCTGTATTAGCCACCTTTCCCTAAGCACTAGAATAGCAGTGTCTTAACTGTTCTCCCACACCTATCTGAAAAAAATCCAGTCTAGGTAATCAGGATGGGCATGAAAGTGTCAATACTGAAACACTGAAGTGTGATTATATTTTTATGTCTTTATTTCTTAAAGTGCACCATAGTTAAATTAGAGAAGAAAAAAAAAAAAAAAAAACACCTTTCCCTTTGATTATAATGTCAGACAGGGCCAAGTTCAGTCAATTTCAGGGCCTCACTCCCACCTATCACATCATGTCCCTCTACCACCTCTGTGTGTTTGATACAATCAACTTATGTTCCAAATGAATTACAAAAAAAAAAATCACTCTATGCTGTCATATTTTGGCACAGGTTTTATGAGCAAGCTGTTAAAGGCCCTTTATTTGTTGTATGGCTTCTATAAGCTGTTCCCCAACAAGTGTTTCCTGTTCCCTCTTTACCATTTAGCCCTAGATAAATACACAAGCTCATAAGATAACTAATATATTTCTATCACCTATATGACAGAACTATTTCAAGAGTCCATTCTTGCATAATCCTCTGCAATTATTACTGCTGATCTATACACAATGAACACTAAGACTGCAGAAGTGACATGGGTAAGTGTACTCTTTAGCATGCTGCCTAATTTAGGAAATATTTCAGGAATAACAGCAATTAAGAATAAAATGTTTTCCCTTTCCTTATCAGAAAGGACAAAACTCATCTTTAGGAGTAACTGGAACAGTCCTTCACCAGAACAGATGCTATCCCAAGTTAGTATCTGCAACCTACATTTGAAGAGCTGTAGGTCTCTGAAGCAACAGCAGCCTAAGCAGCTGGGTATTTAATTCACAAAATCTCACAGAAGGGCGTGAGCAGAGGCTGGGAGGGGTAGTTCAACCAAAGGGCTTGTGCAGCAATGGCTGTAGCCTACAAACATTCACAGATTTTTGACTAGGCTGTGTGTGGCTGCAGGAGAGTCCCCATAAGAGGGGCCGGTGGCTCAAATGAAGCTTATGTTTTATGCAGCATTTCTACAGCCTTTGGAAAGGCTGCACAGAGAAGACAAGGTCAATCCCCTATAAACTGACTACTATTAGTGTCAGACTGTGTTTGATATAAGGCTGCTCCTTGGGCTTCTTGGGAAGTGAAAAGGCACTTTTTCCAGGGCACTTCTGGCCCTGTAATTTGTATTATATCCTACCTGCTGGGGGAGTGTTGAAAGGTGCTGAGGTGGAAGGAGGAGAAAAGGAAGGGGACCAACATACTGAAGTTATGTTGTGACGATGTAGTTACGGTAAGCATTTTAGTTAAAGTGCTCTGACACTGAAGCTATTAAAGTTGTTAATGAATGTGCTGTGGGGAGAAAGGAATTACAAAATACTGAATAAAATGGCATTATTAAAGATTGTTTTCTGTATTTATTTTGAATAGCAGTGACTTCAAGGGATAATCTTATAAAGTTACTCTACCGTCTAGTTTCTTTGTAACAGCAGAAAGCACACAAACATTTATATTTACATCAGTCCTTTGATGCAGGCTGGTATAAAAGGAACAAGGGAAGTAAAAATGATACTGGCCCAGATGCTTCCCAGGCCTTCCAGCAAGTGTGTTTTGAACAGCAGCACTGCAGCTCACAGCACAAAACCTTCCAGGAAGTCTTAAATAGAGCTCTGCTGAAGGAGAAATGAAATCCCTGTTGCATTCTCACAAGGCACATAGTGTTCTGAATTAGGGATTTTTTTACAATGTCAGATTAGAAAGCTGATTAGACTAAATTAATCTATAGGAGTACCATAGACTTAATCAAAAGGGTTTTGTTTTTTCTTTTTAAGAGCTAGCTGCTTCCTTAAACCCTTTTATAGACCATCTTCAAGAAATGTATCTTCTTAAATAAGATGCAAACTGTATGAACAGGAGGCAAGAGAGAAAAATAAGACACACACTTAAAGTTCAGGGGGTTAGGTACCTTTCCTGTGCCCCAGCATCAACGCTTTGGTTTTTGCTATGTTCAGTTCCAAGGTGGTCTCTGGGTGTTAGCAGTGAAGTTATGGCACAATCGTCTTTGCAGTTAAGAACGGAGGAGATCACATTCCCTCTCCTATGCACTATTAGAAAAAAATTAAAAAGTTACATCTCATTACTTGCCTCAGGCTGTGGATGGTAAAGGTCTCATTATTAAAAGGAGACAGTTTATGTGACCAAAGAGGTACAGTACAATTAGACAGTGACTTGGGTACAAATCTAAGTCTGAAAGTTAGAAAGCCAGCTGAAAACAAAAACGAAGACTGCACTGCTGTGCAACAAGTTGCAAGGCAAACTTTTAAGCCCCGTTATAGTTCATGTGCACATATATCTTTATGTAAGCAGAATACTGATTACTACAGTAGCACTGAGTCAAGCAATCCTGGCTTTTTTTTTTTTCTCCTGTTTGCACAGTATCACATTTTCTCTTCAGTTTTTAAAGGGGGGATAACATAATTTGCAAAATTTAGGAATTATGGCATTGGGCCAAATCAGAATTCAGAAAGTCAATCAAGCTACTGAAAAACTGTAGTTTAGTACATTTTTCCTGCATGAGTATACTAAATCTCAAGCCTTAGATTTACAAGAAGATACTCCAAACAATAAAAGCTGGCTTTTTACGCTGTCACAAATCTTAAAGTATTCTTCTAGGAGGTCTTGGCTGATGTGATTAATTGAAAATTGCTTATTTTCAGTCGTGTAAATCTGATGCAAGACACAGAAAAGCAAGGCAGCACAAAGGCTTGCTCAGCTATTCAGACAAACATGATTTTATGTAGTGCATGAAGTCAGTCTCCAGTAGGTCTGGACTGTTAACTTTTCCACAGAGACACAGTCCTTACATACTCTGTCAAATTATTCTTTGATATTTTCATCCGCATTCAGATAAAAATATTTAGCTTAATTTATCAGAAACACAGACGAAAGTGTGACCAGGCACCAGTAAAAGCCTAACAGAGCCAGTCTCTTCCCTCACTGAGGCATATACCCCCCTTGTCTCACAGTCTGCGGGAGGTAACTTTTGGGCATTTCATTGACTGCTGCTGGATTTTCCTCTACTGTTTCAGGTCTCACAGTGCACAGCCCCTCAGTACTTGCCTGTAGAACCTCTGCCAGAGCAGCTTCTTCGGGATTTATTTCCAGCCCAAGGGCCAAAAGCTGCGAATTCTGACCTGAGATCTGCAGCTGCGCAAATCCGACAAGATCTTCCTCACTGGCAGGACTAACTACTTGCTTTGCTCTTTCAAAGCGGAGCCTGTCCGTGGTAGTTTCATCCTGACCACAGTTCTGTCTGAAATACTGCAGCCTCGGCATGCTGCCGCCATGCCCTCCGGCAGGATCTTCCACTCTCTCTTCAGAATCGAGCAGGGGCTGCGTGGATTCGGATCTGGAGAAGACTTGCACAGCAGGGGTTTGGTCTCTGTAGCCGTTGAGCACGACAGTCGAATACTGAACCGTGCTCGACGTGTTCTGGGTAGCTTCCCCTTCGTCGCTGTCCGAGACGCTTTGCCTGGGAGAAGACATGCAGGAGGAGCCTCCGATGCCACTGCTGTGCCCCTCCGAGGTGCCTTTTTCCTTTTTAAGCAGGTCAAAGGGTTTTAAATCTTGTTCTGAGAAAGACTTCTTGTCATCAGCTTCTATTTTGACAACACTGACATCTGTAAAGCTGCCTTCTGGGTACATCTGCTCTTTGGAACTAAAGTTATGCTGAAAGAAATACATTGATTTCTCCTAAGAGGAAGGTTATTTAAAAGTCAAGTACATCAATACCTCTGTTCCTATCCTGTAGCTGCCTTGAGATCAGCATATAAATTCCCTCCTTATGGAACTTGGCAATATCTCCCAAGTTACCAAATGAAGGATGTAGCTGCTCCAGTAAAATGTCTTTTTTACCCAGATACCCTAAAACCATAATTGCCTGCAAGCTTCTCTCTCTAATTTCAGTTGTTCTGAGATGCTTTAAACATAGCGCCATCCTTGGTGCAGCATGGGCACATTCTGCACTGAAGTCTCACATGAATACACTCCTCCCCATAGCATAGGCAACACCTAGGCACTTCACAGAAGCTGGTAACGGCTTCTTGAACAGGATTTGCTGTGTCTTCCATCCCATGCAGGGCATAAATTGCTGCTGCTTTCCTCAGCCAAGAGGAACTCTGTTCAGCTTTTCTCATTCATCACTCCCCTGTACAAACAAGTAGCTTTAAGGCTTTAGAAACGGGAGTCAAGAATTCTGTTAACCTAATACTGATTTCATGGGACCAAGTAAAAGAATTAGTGCTTGAACCCTCAAGCTAGTAAACTGATCTTACAGCAACTTCGAGCACAATGTTAAAGCCTGCTCTATGCTGCAAGTGTGTATGAAGGGCCATATATCCCTAATGCTGAATCTACTCCTGCAATAAAGTCTTCTACCCATATCACATCATAATGTCCAGGATTTTAACATTCAGGTTTTTTCTTTTTTCCTGAATTCTGTGTGTACACTGGAAGGGAGAAGACTCCCACAGGTCAGTTTATTTAAAACCTTACAGACTAAGATAGAAGATGCAGAAGATGAATGTTACCTTAGCTGGAACTTGAGGCGACCACTGAGCAATATTACTCTTGGATGGATCAGGAACATTTGGCCAGATATGCTTTTTAATTCTGTAGAGGATTAGAAATAAAATAAAGATAAGAGATGCACTCCTCACATTTCTCTGTTGGTAGTAAGTGCTCAATAATCCAGGACACTGGTCCCTTAAAACTAATTTTTCAAATGTGAGACCATTTTTGCATTTCCATATAGAAAGACGTGCAATTCCTGATCCTTGTAAGAAGCTGTATTATTAAAACATGGCATTGCACCTACACACATTAGCTGTATTCATATTATAAATGCAAGCACACATATGGTGAAGGAGAGGTTTTCAAATGTATAGAGTTCTAGAAGCTACAGAGCAGTTATCTGAAGAAGAGACTATGAGGCAAAGCCATACAGAAATACATTTCTGTCACTTCAATACAACTGAATTCCTAAATACAGAGGCCTATCAATCACAGCTGTCATTAAACAGCCTTCACAAAAACAGAAATATGAAAAAACATTTAAAGAAAAACTTCCCTAGTCTTTTTTTAACTCTAAACTCTTAAATTTAAGAATGCAGTAACTTAACTTACTTACTTAATGAAGTACCCCAGCCAAACTTTTTTTAGTTTGAAACAGACTCATTGATCCTGCTCTCTGTTCCAGAGACAACCTCCAAAAACAGACTCTCTGTCAGAGATGTCTTAATGTGTTGTGAGATGGGCTGTTCAGCTGTGAAGTCCACTAAGAGCTGGTGTTAGCAGCAGCAGAAAGGTGAGAAAGAGAATAGCATAAAGTGCTGTCTTAACTGGAAAGAAATCTGACCCGGGAGAAGGGAAAGGTGCTGCTCTTCAGCAATAAACTCTTAGCTAAAGCCACAGAGAAGAGCTCTAGGGTAAAGGGCCCAAGAGAGGAGAAAGAGCAGGAAGGTGTTTCCCAGCAGCTACTAAATATGCACAGAATTTGACAGAGGTTATGCAAGACAAGATATTTGCCTAGATTTTTTCAGTTGCTAAACTTATTTTTAAGTTTGCTAAAACATTAACTAGCTCAAATAGAGCTAGAAAACACGTTCTTTTGTGTAAACGTCTCTAGCATGTGTAAACACCTCTAGTAAATGTAATCCTAACCAAAACATATCTAAAAAGCAGGAATTTGAGGGTTAATCATTAAGAGTAGGGTAAGAAATAGAATTAGTTCCACGGAAGCTCGGTTTCCCAGGGGAAGCACAGACATTATCACTGATCAACGCATGCGAGTTTTACCTTTCACTCCTGACTGAAGTACAGGGCATTTATTTGCTTATACTGAATTAGGGCCGCGTCTGTCACGCCCAAAACCAGAAATATACTTCATTTATACTTACAAATCACGTTTGTTAAAACAAACCAAAACTCCAAGGAGTACGATCAGCAGAAATGCTAGGCACACAGGTACAACTATGGCTTCAATTTCTCCTTCCCCTGAAAAAAAAAAAAAAAAAAAAAAAAAAAAAAAAGTCAAAATCTCCTCCCCCCCAAAAAAAAAAAAAAAAAAAAAAAAAAAAAAAAAAAGGAAAAGAGCAGTTATAGCTCACTTTTTGGCATTCAGTAGGAATTAAGGAACTTAGCACTGGCTGTTACTGCCACAGGACAGAGAGAATCTGAAAGACACTATACCCACAGGCATAGCAGGCATTTCAGCTCCAGAAGAGCCTTTTCGCTCCATGGAAAAGCCTGCTGAGAAAGGCATGAAAAGCTGTGTCCAAACAACCTAAAGCATCAGTACAAGCAGCTGGTTGCTATAGAAGCTACAGTAATGATGGAGCATATAATTTCACAGTTTAGGCAGATATGACAGTAATATCTGTATGAATGTATGAGTTTCTGTAAAGAATTGTAACATAAAATTTAGCAGTGATGTAAATGGGAACGAAAAAATTGGAAGCCAAAGGAGGATTTTAAGAATGTCATATGCTGATCAGCATCAAGATTAGCAGGCCAAGATCCCAAGCACTTCTCTTTGCAGCTTCTCAGGACATTAAGATGAGGATAACAAAGGCCAAACTATACTCAGACTAAAACAATGACTCAGGTCATTATCTTCCATCCTTGGGTCTTAAAGACTTGGGGGGGGGGGGGCCAAGACCACCAA